AGGAGACCAGACTTGTATACAATATTCTACCTGGGATAAGGAGACCAGACTTGTATACAATATTCTATCTAGGATAAGAAGACCAGACTTGCATACAATATTCTACCTGGGATAAGGAGACCAGACTTGTATACAATATTCTATCTAGGATAAGGAGACCAGACTTGTATACAACATTCTATCTGGGATAAGGAGACCAGACTTGCATACAATATTCTACCTGGGATAAGGAGACCAGACTTGTATACAATACTCTATCTGGGATAAGGAGACCAGACTTGTATGCAATATTCTATCTAGGATAAGGAGACCAGACTTGTATACAATATTCTATCTAGGATAAGGAGACCAGACTTGTATACAATACTCTATCTGGGATAAGGAGACCAGACTTGTATGCAATATTCTATCTAGAATAAGGAGACCAGACTTGTATGCAATATTTTATCTAGAATAAGGAGACCGGACTTGTATACAATATTCTATCTAGGATAAGGAGACCAGACTTGTATACAACATTCTATCTGGGATAAGGAGACCAGACTTGTATGCAATATTCTATCTAGGATAAGGATACAAGACTTGTATACAATATTCTGTCTAGGATTAAGTCTGGTCTCCTTGTATACAATATTCTATCTGGGATAAGGAGACCATAAATAGCCTGTGGCGTTTCTTTGTGCTTAACAAGAAAGAAACAAAAATAAACATCAAAAGCTTTTTTTAAATCTAAATACACCTATTCTACATCCTTTCCATCGTCTAGATAACAAGTAACATCCTTGTTAAAGAAGATGACAGATTAGTAAGCAAAGATGGTGAATTCATGATGGTCTTCAGTAAATGATAGTGCAAAACCTTTTTATGAGACTAGAATTCTTCCCACTACAAAAGCAAAACTAACTGGCCTACAATTTTCAGTGGTAACTGATCACCGTGTTTAAAAATAGGAATAATATCAGCAACCTTCCAATCCTCAGGCACCTGCCTATTGTCTATTAACTTGCCAAAAATAAAAAAGAAAGGCTTTAAAACTCTATGAAAAACATTTTGAATGTAGATTTTTTTTTCTAATTACGACCAAGGGGTAATATCTACAAAATTCAAATCAAGTACAATATTTCTGAAATAATGCTCAGGGCCAGGAATATTATTCATATATTCTGTTGTAAGAAGTAAAAAAGATATTTAAAAGCTCGGCAATTTCGTAGTGTTGGATAAAAACCAAGAGATTTGTATTCTTAATGGGTACAATCCCCAATTTAACATTATGTTAACCTTAATATACTTTTACAATTATTGTTGTTAGTTTTAACATTGTGATCAAGCATTTTTTCATAAGCCACTTTTAATTTTCTTATTTTGTTTTCGCTAAGTCGCTGTCTTTAATATATATATAGTTTGTAAGTTTTAACTTAGTTGTCACTTCAAACTGCTCAACTGTATGCGCAAATCCTTGAGATTCTCCCTCATGTCTTTAGTATGCCAATTAGATTTGATCTTTCCTATTATCATTTTAAAATGTAATTCATTTTTAAAGATTTCACAAGTTTGTCCCACATCATTTCATGGCCTAAAATTGGCTTTCTGGAATTAGGAATCGAATTTTCTTTTTATCTCAACATGTATCATAACATCAAACTTAATTATGGAATGATCACTTCCTCATATACCCCCCTTCTTCCACACACACACACACACACTTAAATTCTTACAACCACATCATTAGTGGTTAACGGCAAATCTAATATTACATTCCACTTGGTTTGATCTCTTTGGTATAGACCACCATCTTGAATTACTTTAAGAAAATCTTTCCCTCACAATTGAAGTTCTTACAATCTCAAATAAGCGTGTGTAGAATTCAAATTTATCATAATTATTGCATCAGTATTCTCATCATACAATTCTTCATTAATTACTTTCGACTAAAAAGTTGCCTATAACATTTTGCAACTAAACACTACTCTTGAACTCCCTTCATTGTACTTGTCCATTTCATTCTTAATACTTCTAGCACTGCAATAATAGCAACTACGTGTTAATAATTTTCGTTTATTTTTACAATGGTAGTTTCTATAGATTTAATATATACTGTGGAAGAAGCCATATAAATGTCAATATATTTGAAGTAGACTGGTTCAGTTTATTCTGTGTTTGATGACGAAGGATACGCTTATTTACCAAGTTTCACATATTTTCTATTTACATTAAAAGATTAACTAGAAGCGAAGTCATAGTTTAATTCATGCTTCATTCTACTTACCTTGTTGGCACCAATTTTCGTGGCTTTTTGCTTTAATTTCTCAAAGTCTTCTTTTTGTCCAACATCTGCCTAGTAGAGGAAGAAAATGTACCAAAATATACAAAATTTTAGAATTCTAGTGTACAAAATTATTTCGAAATACTTTAGTTTGAAACAGTAAGTTTCGTCTCATACACACAAACACATTTGAAAACGTTCTTGTTCTGCTGCATATACGAATTGAAGTACGCGTTAAGGGATATAGTTCCAGGCCGTGCGTGGCCAAAATGGTTGGCGTGCCTGACTGTGAATCTGAGGATCCGTGGTTAGCGTTCCATTACCATTAATAAAATAATAATTGTGGGTGCGTTACAAGAGTGACCATTAGATTACAGTGATCCACTAGATGGCGGTAGATGGTGTTCATTAGCTGCTTTTCATCTAGTTTTAGAGTTAAATTTTCATCATTTTAAATTGAAGGGCGCTTTCAGGAAGGGGCAAGGGGGACATTTGCCTCCTTACATTTCACAAAAAAATTGCAAGTATTGTGATGCAAACTTAACATCGTTGTTAAACTAAATGTTTTTAGTATCTTTTATTAAAACTGTAGCCTCCCAGTGGTACAGCTGTATGTCTGCGGACTTAAAACGCTAGAATCCGGGTTTCGATACCCGTGGTGGACAGAGCACAAATAGCTTATTGTGTAGCTTTGTACTTAATTACTAACAGTTAAAACTGTAAATTTGTGTCTGCGTTTAAGCACACATAACACATATCCTATTAGTCGGTTGACTTACACTGTAAAAGCTTATCCTCCCTACATCAATGTTTTGCCCCTCACCCCGTTGAAAATATTTCTGTGGGCGCACGTGATTAGATATAATATCCAATTACGTAAAAACATATATATATATGTTTACACCAAATGCTTTATTACTTGCTAACATATTTGACATAAATATAATCAAAAATAAGAATATTTTAGATGGAGGAAAATTATAAGGTTTTAAATGTTTACACTGAAAGAACATTATACAACTTACCACGAAAGCAATCACTTTGTACCCCTTTTCGATCAGCCACGCCAGAATACAAGATGTGTCAAGGCCACCACTGTATGCAAGAACGACCGTTGGTTTCATATTTAATCCACAGCCAAACTAAGATGAAATCCACAAGGCGAAATATTCAAAAACCTCGCATATACTAGAGGTCCTTCTGCAGGGTCCCCCGAAAGTGTTCTGTTTCAAGAGTAAATAAACTAAAATATTTTATTTCTTGCTTTAGAAGTTCATATATCCTGTTGTACAGTACAAATTGCGTCCTTAGGTGTCATATTAGTGTCTACAGACTGACTGACAGACATTACACTATTGTAAAATGGTGCGAGTGGTTAAAATAGGTGACCCCCTCCAGGTGGCCTTCGGCCTCCTTTCGGGGAAATAAAAACAAACATCGGAGACATTTAATGTGCAGTTTTGCTGAATGGCACAAATTGGGCTTCAGAATTATGTGTGAACTCTTGGAATTCACGGTATTGCACTATACGCTTGCTGGAATGGGCCAAAACACTACATATCATGCACCATCTTTTCACAGGCACGTGGTAACACTGCGCACGTATGTAATGCCATTAAAGCTGCACTCTGACATTAACATTTCATGATAATCATGTTTTTGTTTGCTATCACGAGTCGAAAACTCACACTGTTGTGTTGATCGTGTATTACATTACATGTGCGCTCCAACCAATGCAGTTAAGGCAACTGTGTCCACTATCCTGGATATTGGTTGCTATTGCATCATGAAGGGCCTGGGCACTTCCCTTTGCAATTGGAATAAGAGTTAGCAACTTTGTGCACATCACTGTACCAGCTGATCACCTATTGAGCCTCTATGTCATGTCCCTCCCAGCTGACAATCCCGACCACGTCGAGATGCCGATGTCCCCTCTTCCCCCATTTATCTATCCTGATTCATAATACTAGATATACCTGTTGCCAGTTCCCACACAGTCTCCATTATGTGATATAGACTGGTTAGTGTTCACCCACTTTTCTCCGGATTGTCTCCTCCATCTGCAAATATCGCGTTTTCCCTATTTTCCGCCTCCTGTGCTGACTTGCACACTTACCCTTCTATTATTAATTTTACCCATTTTTCTTTTTTCGTCGCTTGGCTGACGAGAGGGCGTAACCCTCTACCGGCCCGCCGGTCCCCCCGGGATCGGAATGAAATAACGCTTATGTTGTTGTTGAGGTTTCATTGATCGTCACTCACTATCAGCTATCGACCATGATACCTGCCAGTAAGCAGACTGTCCCCTATCCAACGCCACCGGTAATTATCGATGGACTACTGCTCGACTTTCCGCCGCTACAAGCACGAGCGCGCCCGTCGTCTAAGCAAGGGAGGTATACTCCTACAGCCCAAGACACTCGAAGACTTACGCTACCTTCGCCACTCTTGGTCTTCAAACCCACCCGTCTCATGCCAACCCCATAAAAGCAATGCCAGTCTCCACAAAGTATTTCTCTGAAACGTCCATTTATCCTTTACGCCAGAGGAAATGCATCAAGCCCTTGAAACTACAACCAACTCTACGATCCACGCAGTCCATCGAATCTCATCAAAGAAAGCAGGTTCACCCTCCACTTTCATGAAAGTTGTCGCAACTTCCAAACTAACCGCAGACTCCATCGTCACCCACGGCTGCTATCTTGATTTCTATCACTTCAAAGCAGAGAAATCATATCGAAAGCCTCACCCACCCCTTACCTTTCCCACCCCACGTTTCACATAATCCGAATGGCAACCGCCGTCAACCAAGATTCTACTACCCAACCTATCAAATCTGACCAAACTCCGCTCACACCTGAGATAGAAACACAAGAGAATATGACCCAAACCACCACTACAAGGAGAAAAAAGGCACCCAGACCCAGCCGCCAGTCTTTCCAGTGACCAACGACGCTTATCAACAAACCTGCAACCCGCCTCTCAGGCCCGTGCCACTTTCTACGCCCTCGTCGTCATATTCACCCAACGCTCTCGTAATCGACACCTCCCCCGACCACGACCTACCCGACGAACCTTTCTGTGCCCTCCACCCTGAACCTGTACCCAAGTAAAACCCTGGCGAACATCAGGAGAATCCATAACTCATTTAAAATTTAATCAACCCCCAACACCGGACTTCACTTTGCCTTTCAAAATTACTTATTCTCGCTAACCGGGCACTGGTAACGGATTGGTTAAAATTCTTGGCATAGGATTTATAGATCCCCGCGTCTTGATGGACCATCTGTCCTATATCGGT